CATGTTGGAGAAAATAAAAGACGGTGGCGACTCTTGCTTACCGCGACATTTCACGAACCAGCGTTAAACAGTCAGTTCTGAATCCACCGATCACAATCACCAATCAGAATTACTTCATGCGAGTGCAAATTTCTGGGCACTCTAGTGTTCAATCATCTTCCACCTTCAGATCACGAAAGGCAGACCATCCAATCTACATCCTCGAGCTTAAGAAGATTGAACAGGGGTAACTGTTGTACCCCAAAATTTTCCCTCTCATTTCTCAAAAGATCATCCTATACTCTCAGGCTTGCTTCTATCAAGTTTCAAGTCTTGAATTACAACTTTTCAAGAAAATCATCCACAAGGGCAAAATGGTCAAAAGCATATTGAAAAGTCAAACTTGGACTTTTAGATCAAAAATCAAGTTTCAACAATTACATTTCATCAAGACATGAAATTGGTTCATCAAAAAAATCAGAAGTCAGAAGTTACTTTGAAAAAACTCAAATTTCTAAACATTTAGAAAATTTTCTAAGTGTCAAGAGAGTATGATACTTCAGAACTTCTGAGCCAGCATCCATGCAAGTGCAGTTAGAATTTGCAGACACGATTCAGAACATGAAGCTTCAATCAGAACATATGAAAGCAATGTTCTTCGGTCAGAACATGACCCTTCAGCATATGGAGGTTACGTTTCTGATCTTCTGCGATCAAAACATCATCGAATCCCAAGACCTCGTTTAAACAACCTGTTGCACTGCTACAACACATTATTCTAACCAGTAGCTAATCCAGTCCGCGCCTGCATTTTCCCAAATCTTGTATTTGCACCAAATACAAAAAGCTGTGATAAAAAAGCAATGGAACAGTGTGCCAAAAAGTTTAAATCCCATTTGTTTTCCCCCCCAAAACCACAACAAATTCACCTATAAATAAGTTGCTCCATCACACTTTCAGGGGGTTGGTTTTTTGAGAGAGAAAATTGTCAAAAGAGAGAAAAGAAAAACTGTGAAACCTTCGTAAAAAATCCAGAATTCCCAAACAGAAAACAAAACCTTTATTCTTCCCTTTGAATCAAAGAACTTGGTATTTTCTCTCCCGTTGTTCTTGCTGACTCCAGAACATTTGAAGGCAGCAGTTCAAGTTCCAAGCACACGTTCCAGATTCAAGGTAAGTCTTTCTGACTTTACATCTTCTCATTCAAAACATTATTAAATATGTAAATATCACAATATTAATGTTGTCCATATCATTGCATAAGTAGGAAAATTATGGATCAGAACTTCTTGATTAAGGCTAGGCTCAGAATTAGGATTAGAACTTCTATAAACTGCTATGCTTTTATCCTCCTGATTTGCTGTTAAGGATTGAATAAATTGTTGATGTGCTAATTAATATGATGAAAAAGTTGAAATGTAACACATAACTGTTGTTCTTCATTCATCATTTTAAAACAGAATTTCTAGAATGCTCACTCACTGTTTTAGCATAGCATAAAACTTCTGAGTTCTCCCTACGCGTTAAACACACGTAACTTCTAGGCTTTCTTACTGTTAAGCGCACTGAACCTCTGATGCTTCCACTCGCTGTTTTAACACTCAAAATGTCTGATTTTTCACACGCTGACAACACACTGAATTTCTGATGTTCACTCACTGTTTTAGCACAACACAGAACTTCTGACTTATGATTCACTGTCTGAATACCACCCAGAACCTTTGTTTCCTTTCCCTCTGACAATTCTTGCAGGACCTAAGAGTGTATCAATCCAGAACTTCAGATTCCATTGACGTTCCTTTCTGAGTCACCATGCGCTTGACTTCGGAACTTCTGATCCTTATCGTTTTGCTTGCAGCAGCACGCTGTTTCTATCTTTTATTTATTTTCCCTTTTATCATTTTCAATATTAATCCTTTTTTTATTAATATAAAAAAGCCATAAAAATATTTTCTTTTATTGATTAATTTATTTCTTTTTTCTTAATTCATTAAGACACAAAAAAACCATTTTCTAAACAAGTCCTTTTTTCTCTCTTGCATTGTACATTGCAATATGGTTGTAATAGTTAAATAGGATTTAAATTCTTGCAACCCCCCATTTGTAAATATGTACCCCCATCCCTAAAATATTGTAATAGCGTAGGACTTTTATATTTCCGCAATTTAACGCTTTTCCAAATATAAAATGCTAGTAATTAGGATGTGTATGACAAGATATGAAATCAACGAATAAATCACCCTAATCAAGACTAAATGCATGCAATCAAACATACTTTGCACATATGCACACCTTAGGGTAATCTTACTTGTTGCCTATCAGAAAAATAGTCATGTCCCTCGAACATGGGCGTTTTAGCAAAAGACCCTCGATAAAAGATCGTAGTCCCTCGATGACCCTCGATATTGCCTTCGATAAACGATCTAGTCCCTCACACGACATTTCTCAAACGTTTCATGGGTTGCCTTCTATGACTATACAAAAATGTCTCGGGCTCGTCCCTTCACATCCAACGATGGGGCTTCTTACCCAATCAATGGTGAGATAGCAACATCTAAAGGAAGAGGAAAAGAACATCTAAGACCTTTTGAGTGAGTAGATTCGCTCCTAGTTACTCGCTTGCTCACAATAAAAACATTTTATACACCAACACATCTCTTTGAACTATTTTCAAAACCAACACTTTGTACGCATTCTTATAGAGACGAGAATCATTACAAAGTCACATTTTCAAAATACTTCCAAAACCCACATCACAAGCATACATTTCAAAACAAAGCAAGTTATCTAGCAAGTAACTAAGAGCCCATGGAAAACCATGGATGAAAGGAGTGCTAACACCTTCCCCTTTCATAATCTACCCCCCGAACTCAAGAAAACATCTCTAAAGGTCTTTCCTGTACTTTTTCATCTTTCCTTATTGGATAAAAGAAAAGCCAATGGCGACTCTTGCTATCCGCAACATTTGCGGTCAAACACAAAATAAAAAGTCAATTCTCCCACCGTATCACAGACCGACTAGACTATGGTTCATCGCTCTAATGGACGAGAGCATTGAGTTTTGGATAGACTTATACGAGAGATTCACTACCCACTCTACTGCCCAAAAAAGACATTCAATGACAACAAGTTCCTTGAGAGAGATCACTCAGGGAAAGAAGGAGAGCATATGGTCTTACATTGATTGATTCACGCAAGTAACCGTGAAAATAGAGGGATCTAGAGAATGTTTCAAGTGTTGGATATTCGAGAATAACCTACTATGGGATAGCCTCTTTAGACAAAAGTTGGGGAGAAGAAAAGTGCATACCATGCATAAACTGTTAAACAAAGCTTAGTTTTTCATCAACTTCAAAGAAAATTTGAACACCCGATTCAACAACTTGGTCACTATCGATGCCAATTTTAACGTTTTGATGGTGAAGAAGTCTCACCATCGAAAGGATGAATCCGACTTGAAAATGCATGGTGGTGCGATAAGTACAAAGCGTTGAATGCTTCACGGGAAAAATTTATTATTAAGAGTGTGCTAACACATATTTTTGAAATGGAGGAATTAGAGCCCCCTTCCCATTAGAGAGTCATCCCGAACTGACAAGACAAAGTATTGTCGTTTCAACAATGGACACAGTCATAACACAGATGATTACATACAACTAAAAGATGTTATTGATGGGTTGATAAAAAGAGGTCGATTGTCCGAATACGTAAAGGGAGAAAAAAGAGAAGAGAATAGTCGCCCAAGAGTAATTCCTTCTCAAAAGTTAAGGATGATTGGACTATCGATGAAGATAAGTTCTTCTTTATTAAGATGGGTGTTAGATAGAATGTCAACAGATAAAAATGAAACCCATAAAAAGGAAGAAAAGAATAACTTTTCAAGAATGTTCATAGTAAATAGAAAAAAAAAAAAGTAAAGATCAGTAAATGATCAATTTAGTTTATATATAAATAAATATTAAGTTGATATAATAAATCTAAATGATCGTTAAAAATATGTGAGTAGATTCTCCCACTTATATATGTTAGTCTCCACATTCATATTCAATACAACGGGACACAATTTTTTGGATATTTCAATACTAAGACAGTCTCTTTCTCGAACCAAAGACTCAAATATCATTTGTTGGGGGAGTTAGTAAGAGCATTGATACAAAATTGAAGATTATGCATCTTTGTGAGAGACACACCACTTATCCACCTAAAATCATAAGGTGATAGGTACGTGAGTTCTCCCAATTATAAATTCAATGTAAGACTATTTACTCACTTACTCACACTTATATTATTATTCTAACGATAAATAGGTTCATTTACTTACACCTACGAATAATTAAAATATCTATTCTAATAGACAAATATGTGATTTTAGGGTTAAACAAACGTTCTCTATCGATAGCAATTGAATAAGGCAGAGCTAAGTCTTTCTCGAGTTTATTTTAAATTGTTGTGAGGCGCAAGGAATAGTCAAATTTAAATAAAAAAGTGACATTTGGCCATGTTCTATGATTTTATGTGCCATTATTTGTGGTTGACGAATAATATAGAAGCACAACTTAAACAATAAAACATGTGTGGAAAATGGCAACCGATAATACCACAAAAATTGGAAGACCAAGCAATGATGGGGGCACCATGTATCCCAAGCAAAGGGGAGACACACATATTTTATTTTCTCTGCATGATTTTTATATTGGTTATTACTGATCTTAGATCTTTGTGAGACAATCACAATTTAATGACCTTGTAATTTAGCTAAAAGCCTTTTCTTCTTCCTCTGATTTGATGGAAAGATGAATGCAGTGTCAAAAGAAAACACCACTGGACCTAGAATTTACCTTGGATATACCAGAACATGACTTACCACAAAGTAACAAGTACTATTAGATTCATAAAGGCCATAATAACTAAAATACAGAAACATGTCCCATGCATATTTGGTTGAGATCAAAAGGCGGAAATCAGTTATTGCGTTGAATCCGAATCCGGTCATATCTGGTTTACACTGTTTAACTGCTTGTTTAGAAAAGAGGATCAGTTGCAATAGAAAGAGCAGGATCTCCAATACCTGAAGAAAAATCAAATCCTGACATTGAGTTATCACCAAACATTACAGCACCAGCAGCCAATGCACCAGCACCAGCTCCCATTGCAAATCCTGGAGGTCCCCTCTGCCTAGGAGCTGTCCCTGATGATGATGGCATATTAAAATAACTTGGTGCCAACCCATCATTACTTTGATGAAAAGTGGGAACATAACCGAAATTTGACGCGGGAGGTGGTGGTGGTGGAGTTCTGAGTGGTTGATAACTTGGTCCAGCTCCAGTAGCTGCAGGATAGGTTGGTCCACCCACATAAGGGTTAGAGTAGTTTGAAGGAAATGGCATTGGATGTGAGTAGGGTACATTAGTTTGTGCTTGTTTAAAAGGTGCATTGAATGAAGCTGGATCCATTTGTCGGTGATATCTTTGTCCATTCCCACCCTTATTACCACCATTATCTAAGAGCATTATTCCTCCTCCCTCATTACCTGCATCACAAACAAATATAGTGCCTCAAATAACTTTGGTATTCTTTCAAAGCTACAAAATTATGATATATTTTCGATAATCCGTTTAAATAAAGTGTATTCTTTTAAATTGCGGTCTGCAACCACAATTGCAGCCACAATATTGATGATCTAGTAGTCTATGTAACTGCATCGGACTACAATAGTGGTGTGATTTGAAATCACGCGTTCGTCCACACTAGGAACCCCGCATCAAACAACTTTACCCAAGTTTCTTCAAGTATTTTTGTTAAAACTCAAAATTTAGAACCTTAAAATTCAACTTACTTCTAAAAAATATGAACATCAAGTGTTTTTCAACAATGTATTTCAAACATCTCTTAATCAAAAATCACACTACAAAGGTCAAAATGCGCATCGCAATAACCGCAATCACAACACCCGCAACTGCATCCATGGACACAATTTAAAACCATGATTAAGCACTTATAGTATAAGCTTTTATCCTGTAAGTGCTTATTGACCCATTTAAATTGACTTGACATAAGTACTTGAGGACTTTTTAAGAAAATTCATGGAAAGTACTTATGACATGTTCATAAACTTTCCAACATATCTCTACAGAAAACAAGTTAATTGTTCACATATAAGCTATAAGGTGTTTCCATAAGCAATTATGTAGAGCTTATGAAAATAAGCTTATTAAAAAGAACTTATAAACATGTCTTAACCTCTCTCAAACAACTTCATTTAAGTACATAAACTAAAAAAACTAAATCCAAAAAAATCTTTAAGCTTCAACCAAAGTTTTCAACTTTTCCACTAAACAATTGAACCCATTATAGTATATTGAAACAAAACCTCATTTACCTAAGAGAAACAAAACAAAACAAAACAAAAAAGGAACAAAAGGAACCATTTTTACAATACCTGCGTAAGAATTTGATTCTTCTTTATCTTCAAAAACACGAACAGAAACATCAACAAACCCTCTTGGTTTATTATCCTTCTTCTTTCTCAACTGATAGCTTCCAATTTCTTCATTCTGCATCTCTTTTGCAAGAAACTCTTTGAGAAGAACAGTAGCTGAACCATGAAGTTTCTCTGAGAAGAAAAAAGGGTCTCTGCTATAAACTTCAACATTCAATGCAAGATCATGAAAACTAGGATCAGAATTATCAACTGGAACAGAAAACTTTGTTCTCCAATGAGGGTTTGTGTTGGTGGAAGCATCAACTTTTGTGATGTATTTGTTGGTTGGATCAACCCAACCAACTGCGTACCATTGGTGTTTCCAGAGTGAAGGTGAAGCTCTTACTCCTCGAGCTGATATTATGCATATCTCGACAGAGATTTTCACCATAGATGGTGTAGAAAACAGTGGTTTGATGTTGTGTTTGTTTTGTTAAGGAAAAAGAGAAAAAGTGTAGTGGTTTTGTTGTGTTTTTAGTTACTACTTTATTTGGTTTGATAGTTATTAGTGAGGAAAATAAAATTCTTTATGCGGTTCCTTTTGACTTTTATCAATATTTATGGGTACCCTTTGGGTTTTTTTGTGACATTTCCTTCATGTTAAGGGTGGATCACAGCAAGGCAAGAATCTGCAAAGTTTTATCAGCAGATTAAAGAAATGTATTAATGGTGAGGTTAATAGAATTATAGTGAGCTGTTTTAATATTAGGAAAGGATTCAACAAAAATCACTTCTTTTTTTTAAATCAAATATCTTAGGGAAAAAAATGGAGATTTGAATAGAGGATATCTGACTAAGATGCGCGAGATTTTTATCTTCTCATTTAAGAATATTTTAACATGGATAAATGAGTTTATACAAAAATAAAAAGTACAAGGACAATAAACGGCGCCGTTACTCTTTTTTGAATGACAAAACTAATCTTCTTAAAAACTACATTCATAGACCTAGGAAATACAACATTGTTATTCATAAGTCTTTGAACTCTCTTTAAAAGAACAACTGTTTCTGGTGTTAGAAAATCAAAAGTGTCAAAAGCAAATGGTATGAATGCATGTTGATTGTCGGAACATGATTTCTCATGTTTGACCACTTTACTTGAAGTAGCTTTGAGAGTTGCCTGTTCCACAATAAAATCTCTAGTCCTCAATTTCACCAGTGGAGAAACTCCAATCAAGTCCGCACAAGCATGTTTCCCTCCTACCCAGTCATACACCAGAATATTTGTTGGCCTAAGCTTCGATCACCCCTCATGTGAATCAGTCAAGAAATTTACAGGTGCTTCTTTCTTCACAGATACTCCGATCCGCCAAAATATATCAAACAAGACATCCCTAACAAGGTCATGTCACCTAGAAGCTCCCTACAATGAATTGTGTGTTCCCCAAAAGTATCCTAACATGCCTTACGACAAACAAGGCAAACCTCATCAATAGAAAATAAAGGAATCATAAGGAGGTATCTTAGGATAGTACGTGATCGGAAAAATAGCAAGTGTACTATTTTCACCGATGTAGTAATAATGAGATTTTCCCAAAGATCGATCTCGAGGACTACGTAGAAAATACTCAGTTTTATTATTAATTCAATTAAACAAAAATAATAATTTTGGGTTTGATTGGAATAAATTCTTACAAAACATTAAATGATTAAATGTAAAATGTGACTTTTTCTGTTTGATTAAAAGATGTTAAGGGTGAGTGTATGATTTGTCATGAAATAACCTTCACTCTTTGATCTTTTCAACAACTTTATCAACCTCAATTATCGATTCTTAAGATTATATTTTCCTAAGTCCTTAGTGAAAAACCTTTAACCTTCTACCCTAATTCCATTGTCCATTCAAATTAATTTTGAGGTTAAGCCTTCAATTATCAAGAATTATTTTGGTTATTATAAGATTGCCCTAGTCCTAGGTGAAATCATCTATAATATCATTATTTAGAAAACCTTAACATGATCGTCTGGTACTAATGTGTTAATAACAGTGAAACCCCATGGTCCCATAGGGTAAAACTATAAATTTTTCTAAGCAATTAAATTGATGCATAAAAACTGTTATGTTGAAGAGATCAGTATTCTTAACATAGAAAATCAGGGGCACCCCCTAGCATTGGGGGGTTTAGCTTTTCATAGAATTCAAAATTAAAATAACACAGATATTAGATTTAGACATTACAATAAGTATGGGATCTTCGATCTTCAATTGCTATCGCGCATGAAGAGTTCTCTGTTCCCAAAGCCCCTCTGGATCTCCAATCGTCTATCGTGAACTTCTTCAATCGTTCAAATGTCATTTTTCCTTCTTAAAATTAGGTTTAAGTAGTCTAGTCCTTCCTAAGTTATGCAAAAAGTCCAAAGTAGCCTACAGGGTTCAAAAAAAACACTATAAATTACAAAAATTAAGAATTATCAATGTCTGAGCTGACACGGGGCGTGTCAGTGGACACGGGCACCCGTGTCAGCGTCTGTGATCCTTACTCTAATATTTTATGCTTTAGCTGACTTGACACGGGTCGTTTCATGTGACACGGCCACCCGTGTCCTCTTCTCTCTTCAGCTTCTTTTTCTTCTTCTCCTGACACTGCCCGTACAACTTCGTGTTTTACTTCGCGTTTGCACAAATCCTCTGGATATTTTTACCTGAACCTAAGATTACTAATACCTATCAACCCAAACCATAGAAAGCATATAAAAGAGATGAAATTCAAATAAAAGCAACACAAAGATACATTTGCAAAAAGTAACATAACTTAAACAAAACGATTAAAAGACAAATTAAAATGTTACAGATTTGATGAACTTCTACCGAATAAGTGACGGAAACGAAGTAGAAATGGTGATCAATCACAACCCCAAACTTAGCTCATAGCTTGTACTCAAGTAATATAGACGACAACAACAAAGTCACCCCAAAATTCCTTCTTACCATAATACAACTGATGTTCTTCGCAACTTGCTTTCCACCTTCCAGGTCAAGATTCTGGGTCACCGATCCGAACTTTCCGCTACACTTCCACATCAAATTACTTTTTCACCTGCAAGATTTTTCACACTTCTCACCAAATCTCTCGGGGTTAAAGTGTTTTGCACTCAAAATTCAATGTATGCAATATCGACTCTTAACTTTGAATGAACTCCACCTTCACTACACAAACAGATTTCACACACTTTTAGAGGTCTTTGGGCTGTAACGGGGATTGGGTACAGTGGGATAAACAAAGCAAATGGATAAATAATGGGTTTTTGGCTCAACATCTGTTTTGTTTTTCTGGTCTCTGTGCTCAACTTATTACGATGAGATTTTACTCAACCTTGACTCTTTTGCTATTTGCTTCACTCAGTTTTTGCTTTAAGTGTTTCATTGGTACCTGGTTTTTTTTCCGGGGCAAGTATTTCTTTATGAGTTATATTCCTTTTTTTACTAGAGACATTCATGTGTCTCCATTCTTTTTCTCATTTTTTTCATACTTTCCCTCTTCTATACAGACAATCACCCCAAACTTAGAACTGCACACAATTTCAAAATTCACAACACTTATGTCGAGCAATGGTAGGAAATGTTTGGCCTTGGGTTAACATATATGGTTACAAAAAACAAATGGATAAGGCTCAGCTGTGGTTAAAAAAGGATACACATAACAATATAGGATGGCTATAAAGGCTCGGGGTTAACGCAAACAACATGCCTCAGTGTGTGTTATCATGTGGTGTTGTTCGAGTTGAATACACACAAAATTAGAGTGATAAAGTCATACATGAATGAACTCTCATGATGATATTCTTGTGTTTGGTTTTATGTATGCTCACCGTGTTAGATAAGCTTACAGGTTCCAAAGCACTCCTCGTGTGATGCAACTTCTTATACCATACTACCATCTCAGCCCAGTGTCACCAAATTGCGTCCAACAATTATTCGTTCTTCAGCTGTATCAACTTCCTGGGGTGCCTGAGGAGCAAGTCCAGGTTGCATCTTTCATTCACTTAGTTACTCGTTCGTCTTTCATTAGGACCAAATACAACCAATCTGCAACACATTGGTGAATAAAAACAATAAAGACAACCAATAAAAACCCTCCTCCACTTGAGCTAAACATTGTCCCCAATGTTCTTGTCCAAGAGAGAAGGGGACTCACAGAACATCACTGCGGAGGAGGAGGAAATTGCAACATCAATTGTTGCCTCCTAGATTTCACCGGCAAGACTCCATTTTTATTACCTACAAACAAAACAAAAAGAAAAACTAAGTTATTAGAAGCGTGGTTTGCCTCCCACGAAGTGCTCCATTTAATGTCGCATGGCTCGAAGGTTCATCCCCTTATGGGGTACTTCCTCTTCCATATTGTGTTGCTTGTATCTTCCACAACCCATAACTCATTCAAATCAAAAGTGTGATTCGGTGGGAGAACTGACTTAAGGTTTTGTGTTTGTGTTTGCAAATGTCGCGGTTAGCAAGAGTCGCCACCGACTTTTATTTTATCCAAAAGAAAAGGTAAAAAAGCACAGGAAAGACCTTTGAGATGTTTTCTTGAGTTCGGGGGGTAGATTATGAAAAGGGAAGGTGCTAGCACCCTTTTCATCCATGGTTTTCCATGGGCTCTTAGTTACTTGTTTAGATCACTTGCTTTGCTTTTTCAATTGTTTGAAATGGTGCTTTGTGTGGTTTTGAAAGTATTTTGAAAAGAGGTCATCGTTTAGGCAATCTTTGTAATGATTCTCGTTCGTAAGAATGTATACAAAGATGTTTATCTTTTGAAAAATGTTTCAATGTTTTGAAAATTGTTTGGAAATTGTTTTGAAATGTGTGTGTTTATTTTTGAAAATAGCAAGGATTGTTTGCAAATTGGTCAAGTAACTAGAAACTATCTACCTACTCAAAAGTCTTTCTTGTACATTTTTATTCCTTTGACATTGTTGACCTACCATTGTTTTGGTATACAACCCTATCTTTGGATGTTAAATGGGATGGGTGTGGGTCATCGTATGACCATGATAGTAACGGTGCCAAGTATCTTAGCTAGTTTTAGGGACCAAGATCATTTGTTTTAAGACAACCTTTAGATAACGTCATCGAGGGACTATGATCTTTTGTTTTGTTTTGTTTTGCCAAGATACCTTGCATGCATACCATGGCCATTTGTTTAGGCAACCAAGTGGGTGAAACCCTAGAGGTGCTTGTGTGCAATGTGTTGTCATTTTCATGCATTTTTGTCTTGTATTAGGTCATGCTATTTGTTTGATTTTGTCTTATCATACAAACCCTAATTTACTAAACATGTATATAATGCGATAAATTGTGTAAAGTAAATCTAAGCTATTACAACAATTATTATGGGAGGGGGGATACAAGTTTTTAATGGGGGATATTGCTCAAAATAAAATCTTAAAAAT